CAATTCATTTTCAAAGTCTCTGAGTGCTCTCGTTCCCTGACACTTAGAGCCAATTGCTATCTACGGTCTCTTTGGTTTTTCCTTTTATGGCTGTACTTCGTACTCTGCCAATCCTTACTGTTGTAGACTTTTTCAAGTGTAAGTAATCACTCTGTTTTGCTTGTTTGTATCCATTTCATGATGTGAAATGAAAGCCTGTTACTGTTATTTATCATTTTCAGTACTTACCTGGAATACCCTGATGTGTTTTCTATGACTCAGAGGTTAACATGTAATGGCCAGCCTTTTTTTATGATCACTTCCTGCTTTTGTGCATTTGGTCATGTTTAGTTCAGTCCTTACTTTGATGTTGTAGGTTCACATTGTGCATTGTCCACCTTAAAGGTGTGGGTGGTTCTTTTTTTTGGGGGGGGGGAGGCGGGAACTCATGTGTTTTTTTTCCTTCTTTTGTATCAAAGGTCTATTATTCTTATCTCTCCACCTTGTCGTCTTTGTATGTTACTCTCAAGTAACACCTCTAATCTGCAGAACCTATCTTACCTATCTGTGCTGCCTGCAAGTGCTGTAAAACTTTTACTTAAAATTAAACCCTTAACCATTGTGCTCCACATACGTCTTGCTTTAACTCAGTCACTATTACTTCTTACAGTTGTGTAATGTATTAGTATTCTTTTTTTTCCCAGACAAAGCTTTCAGAGGAGTACCATAAATACAGAGATGAGTGTGATGCTAGAAAACTGCTGGTCGCTGACATCAATGATCTCCGCTACCAACAAGAAGACTACCTAGCTTCTAAAAATACTGCCCAGCAAAATCAGGATACGGAGGAAGATCCTGTCATTCTCAAGATGGCACTCATGTAAATCTATCTATTTGTCCCTAAGACAATTATATAAACTCAAATTAAGAGCTAGTCTGTCAGTTACAAGGAGAAGTGTATTGAAGTATAGTGGACCTGCAGACATATGGCCCTTTAATAGAAGATCTGGAATTGTTGAAATTTTTATAAGCTCTTATTAAAATATCTTACTTTTTAATGGGGAAAAACATGGTCGTAGGTCACATTCTTAGAAAGAAACAACAATCATTTTGTTTGTTAATGGTGAAATGTGTAAATCAGTGTGTGTTTCCTTCAAAACCCCTAAGACATAATCCAATAATTGTACTTTCCATAATATTCATGTCAAGGATATGAGCAAAAACAATATTCTACATTTGATTTTCATTACAAAGGGGTGTTCTTTGGTGGGAGGGGGGGGGGGGGGGGAGTTGGTAAAGTTTTATAAGACTGTTCTAGGAAGTAAGAAAAGGCTGTCAGTGTTAATATGAGGAAATGAAAATAAAGGCTAGTGTTTTATTGGGTTTCTGATATTGTGAATGAAACGAGAGGAAAAAATAACTGAAAAGCATTCGGGCGTAATTGTTTTATTTTTGTGTGTGTGAGAAATGCCCTATAAAGCCATAATAACAATCATTTCGAAATAGATCTGTGTGTTTCTAAATCTCCTGTACTTTATCATTGGTTTACTCATTTATTTCTTTACCCATGCCCTTTGAATACCCTTTGGCTATTCATTCTCTACCACAAACAGACAACTTACAGTGCTCTAAAACAAACATAGAAATTGAATAAACATTGATGTGGCTTTTGTCCTCTGCAGAAAATCTCGTGAGGGTGAGAAAACTGCCACTCATAAATTGAATGAGATGATAGCCAATTATGGGGATGTCATCCCTCGGAGGGACTTTGAGACTCTGGAAGCAAAGTTTAAGGTGAGTTCATACTTTGCTACATATTGACTGAGTTTAGTTCGTGTAAATTTTGGGCTCTCTGTTAGCTCAGTCGGTATCTCGCTGGACTACTGGGTGGATTGCCCTGGTTCAAAGCCCCAGTGGGGGCATTTTTGAATTTGGTCATTTCGGGGAGTTTTTAAGGCTCTTGACATATTTTGGCCCTATTGGAGATAAATATTTTATATTTGGCTGTCCCACCTCTTAAACCTTATTTAAACCTAGTGGAGTCGAAAAGGGCATTAAATCTACATAACAACTAACCAACTGTGTAAATTAGTGGAGATTTTATGTAAATATAATTTTGATGCTTTTCATTCAAATCTACCTTGAGCCTCTTTGCTTTTGTGTGAAATAAGTTATATCTATTAATTTCATAACCTTTTTTAGAATAAAACTTTTCCTCTTAGCTTTGTATTGTATTCTAAACAAAAGGAGGTCTTGTTTCTTAGATATAACATTATTTCCATAAATGTGTTTTCATGAGTCACTTATGGTGCATAATATCTGAGAGTGTCTAGCAAGTTGAAGTTCACTAATTGATTTAATTTTTGCATCTAGTTTGAAAAATGTAAAAACCCACACACATCAATTGTTGAAAATGTAGAAATGTTAAGATATAAAATAAATGTTTTTATGCATATTTATGTAGGCCTATTAAAAAAAAATATTTTAAAGACTTTTTTGGACTTTCTCGTTTCTTTACTCTATTGACATGAAAAAAAAAATGATCTGGTCTCATTGTAAAAATAAAGTGAATTTTTTTGTGTGAGATTGTAAACATTTGTTAATATATAATGATTTACTTTATTTTTGTTTATTTCACATCTCTGTACTGTAAGAGAAATTCGAAAAGCTGTTATTTTGAATGTATTTACTCTTTCCTCTCTAGGAACTGGATGCAAAGTATGAGACATCACAGCAGGACTTCAAAAAGTTGCAGGCAGAGCATAAGTACGTCTATTGAAACATCAAACATATAATGTTAATATGAAGCCAAGTTTATTTTTATTGGAGGCTTGAGCAAGAACACGAGCATATGTAAGGTGATGTGGGGAGGATTAATAAGGTTTAGAAATTAAGATCTGATTAATAAGGTTTAGAAATTAAGCACAGTATGTTGTGAATTGTCTAGCAAGTGTAAAAAAAATGTTCTCTCTTAATCTTTTGTCTCACTTCGACGGAATTCAATATTGGTCATTCAAAATGGAGCATGGGATCATTTACATATCGTTGCTGTCGTGCACAAACCCCATAAGTGCAACCGACAAAATTTTACAGGAGAAGCAAAAAACTGATTATTTCCTTTATTTCTTAATAATTTTGAAAACTTTTCAACTTTTACTAATAAAATATGATTCTTCACCTTCTCACACATTTTTTAAAGTAGTAAAATGAATAATTATAAAGAAAAAGGACTTATGAGGTTTCTGTTCGAGTTTATCGCGTGCACAGAACCCGTAAGCGCCAAGCGTGCCACATACAGGGTTCATGCTCGACAGGTCTGAATCGGTTGTCGTCAGCTGATATCGCTTTGGCAGTTTTGTTCTTGAGTGAATCACTGATGACGGCTTGTTGTGTGTGTGTGCGTGTGTGTGTGTGTGTGCATGTGTGTGTGTTGTGTGTATGTGGGTTTCTCTCTTTCTCTCTCGATTTCTCTCTATCTGTCGAATGCACACACACTTTCATTTCCTCTCTGTCTCTTTCTTTTCCTCTCTGTCTCTTTCTTTTTTCGTTCAGAAACACTCTCTCTCTTTGTCTCTCATTCTCTCCCTTGCTCTCTCACTCTCTTGCTCCCTCTCTCTTCTCTCACTCTCAGTCTCTCTACCTCCTCTCCCTCTTCATTCATTCAATATGTCTTCCTCTTTCTGTATTCCGAAATACCCCCTCCCCTCCCCCCCCCCTCTCTCTCTCTCTCTCTCTCTCTCTCTCTCTCTCTCTCTCTCTCTCTCTCTCTCACTCTCTCTCTCTCTCTCACTCTCTCTCTTCTCTCTCTCTTTCTTTCTTTCTCTCTCTTTATTTCTCTCTCTCTCTCTGCCTGCCACTCTCTCTTAATCTCATCCTCTCTCTCAGTCCTCCTCCTCCTCCTCCTCCTTTCTCGCTCAGATGTAACTGAAATGATTTTAAAAATTCACATATGAAATCGTTACCATACAGGCACAAACTGAAACACTTCACGATTGAAAAACTGCTGTTCTCAATCAGACTATCAACAGGCCAGTTGAACAGACCTGCCCCCCCCCCCCCCTTCCGAGGAGGAATTTTATTATCTGTTTATAAAATACTAGTCATACTGTGAATGTACTAAGTCGTTTTTGTTGTCTGTTTGGAAACAAATCATTGCATGCTCATTGGCTGGTGACGCTGGCCAGTTGGCAAAACAGGGTCAGCACACTGGCTGGTGACACCAACCACTCATCCTAAAAAAAAGCAATCATATGTTCAGTTCTGCCTCATTTCATGTTGTATCCTCTCACATCCTCAACCCTCAGTGCCTTGCTTGACATCCAGAAAGAGGTGACATCAAAGAGAGATGAATTCTACATTGAGCTGGAAACCCTTAAAAGGAGCTCAACACCCAGGTAAGAATTAAGTACTCTCAACTTTATTCTGTCACTTTTGACGTAATTTTAAAACAAATTTTTGCCTGCTGCTAAACTTTAAAAATAATATAAAATAAAAATATCAATGTCTTTACTCCCCATTGATACAATTTAGATAATTTAAGACTCTGGCTTTGGACCCTGTCTTGTCATGGCTAATCTGAATTGAGAGGGATACAGCATCCCAGCAGAAAGACAGAAATACTTGATAAAGGTTTTTCCCCTCTGGGTAATCAAACTCTGGTCCCCTGCATGTCACAGCAAAGTGCCAAATCATTGCACAATAGATGCCAGTTCTAAGCTTTTAGCTCATGAAAAAAGACAATCAACAGGGAGAGAGAGAGGTAAATGGCCATACTCTTAGTGTCTGATGTTATTACATTTTGTAGATGGTGTCTCTGTTTGAATTCTCGGATGGCTACTTTCTAGTGAGAATATGCTTTACATATCCTTTAAGCATATCATGGTAAATTTTGGAAGCTTTTATAGTGATGCAAGGGATGCAAAGCTGTTTCATTATAAATCCGATGCAAACATTCTTTTGAAAGCCCAAACGACATTTACTTGTACAGACCTTAATTAAACAAAATTAAATGATGTACAATATTTTTGTTGCACAGACCTGACTGGGATAAATGTTCAGAGTGTGTGCAGGGTGGAATCGTGCGATGGAAAGAAATTTCTGCAGGTAAGAGGAGTGATGAACTTGTTGACGTCCTCCTCAATGAGATCCAGTCTGGTGGTATTGTTGACACAGTTGGCGCTGACTACTTTGATGGCCAGGTAAGAGTTAATATTGTATTGTCAGAATCATGTTCCAGTTCCTACTTGGCCATGTCATTAGGGCAATGTTTCTCCAGCTCTTATTACATAATGTCTTGTAGATTTGTTGTTCACTGTATTAAAAAAAAAAATCTTGTTTTATAAAAGTTGTTTTCGCTGTAGTGTCCAACTTTGTTAAGAGTTTGTAAAAACAAAGTGCTTTAGTGTGTGGGATACTGATTTGGAATAGATTTTTTTCTAATTTTATTGTGTGTGTGTGCTCGTGTGCATGTGTGTGTGCACGTGTGCATGTTTGTGTGTGTGTGTGCGTGTGTGTGTGTGTGTGTGTGTGTGTGTCTGTGTGTGTGTTTGTGTGTGTGTGTGTGTGTGTGTATGTTTTATATGTTATAAACTTGCTTGCGCTGTGTTTACAGTACATTCTCTGAGGGAAACTGTTAAAAACATTTTCAGGGTGAGGGTCCTGAAGTTCCTGTCTATCTCCGCTTTGAGGGACCTGTGAGAAACCGACGCATTGGCAAACGAGACACGGCTCTGCTGGTCAGAGACATATGGCGAGAAAAGTCAGCTTCGGATGCTGAGGTAGATATTATTTCTTAGTTTCAACAAAATGTCCATATATTTAGGCGTTTTAAGACTTACAACACTCCCAGTGTATCCGAAGATTATTTGCTTTAGCTGTTTTTGTAGCATGTAACTTTATTTGCATTGGATTTCAAAGAATAAAAATATTGGCTTGACATTGCGGTACAAGTTATGGTTCTGTGTTCATGAAGAAAATTAAAATAATTTTATCTACCTTGGCTTGTAGGCCTATATGTTCACCTTCTTTCCACCAGCAAGAACCCTGTCACTTTCTTATTCTTAGAAAAGACTGATGTTTGTGATGTTTGCTTGAGCATGAACTTTTATGGAAATTTGTTTTATACTAAACTGATGTGAATTTCATACTTTTGGTATGTTGCCTTTCTCTTGAACATAGTAACAGCATCTGGATTGTTAGATTTTATGAAAGAAGGTTGTTGAGCACAATGTGATAGTCTTCACATATATTTGCATAATATCTAGCACTTGTTGAAGTCTTGGGATGGTGTATTTGATTTGTTTTGGTAATCTATGCTATTGATTATTACAATAAAGGAATAAAAGCATTAACGGATCTTGATTGTACTGTAAATTAGTCGTATAATCTTTGTTTGTACAGAGAACTGATGGCACCCGCCAAAAGATGGCAGAGTTTCTGCATGGGTACCTCAAGCAGCGATTCTCTTTAGAGACACTTGTGATTGAGTGGGGCTACAATCTGCATGATGCCTGTCAGAGATACTCACATGATGACATCATAGGACTCTTCTGGAAAGTTCTCAATGACAAGGTATTTGCAAATACAGTCAAAACTCATTATACCATCAACCTTGGGACGAGCATGAAGTTAGCAGTATAGCAGGGCTGTTTGTCTGGCGGCGCTGTGATGCCGTCCTCTGTTAAATTATAGTACCGACTCCTCAATGTCAAGGGAAATGAGCCTGCCATTGACTAAATGAAAGACATTATTATAATGAATTCTCCCCCCTTGTCCAAAACTTTACAAGATGGCCTTCAGGCTGCTCGCACGTGACTGCTGTATATATGTATATAAGTGGGGAAGATGGGATTGTCATTACGTAGCTTTTGAGTGGCTGCCATGCATTATGTGCAGTATGTACCTGTGGCGGCCAGTTTGCTGGCAATGTTATGAGGCAAAATTTTACATAAGTTGAGAAAAGACTACAACTCGGGCAGTTAGCAAATACACCAAATAGTATGTTCATATAGCTGTTCCCTTTCCTGTATTGGCAAAAGCTGGTGATAAATGGGGCTGGCAATATTATGGAGGGTGGTATGACGACAGGGTTTGACTTTAGGTCTTTTACATCTTGTTTTAGAATTGAATGTGAATAGTTGTGAGATACGGAAAAAACCCTCCTCAATAAAACTGTGGGCAATATCTATATTTTGTTTGTTGTTAGATGTGATACTCTCTTCACAGAGTGACCTATAGTGCAGGCAAAAAGTAGGAACAAAGATTGTGCGACAAAAATGTCCATTAGAGAGATGAAACAAAGCAGCTTCATCAGTGCTGGTGAAGGCATCATTATCATTATGCATAGAGTTTGGATGAATCTTTTTATAAACTGCCACGCTGTAGTATACAATCTTTGAGATTTTCCACTATATCGGGATGTTTAAGGCATATTCTCTTGCTATGGGTGATACATTCCCATTCGGAAAAATATGATTGAGGAAAGCCTTGGATTATAACCAGCTGCTGGTGTATAAAGAGCTCAGGGCAAACTACTGGCCCAAAGTAATTTTGCTCAAGGTATATAATATACCTTTTCTGCAAAAATATGACATTTAAGCGTTCTTTAAATAAGAAATGCTTTGTCGTCCTATCTACAGGCAGATGAGGAGATCTTCCATAGCCAGTTGCTAACCATTCATGGCCTGATGACTGATATGACAAAGCTTGATGCTGAACAAGGTGACACAGGAAATCTCAGCCGGGATGATTTCCAGAAATGTCTGACACAGTTTTTCCCAGCGCTGACGGAAGAAACCACAGCTGCTATGTTGAAAGCTGTGGATCTTGAGTTGGAGGGCTCGGAAGTCGCTGAGATTGATTACAAGAGCTTGTTCACAGAGGTAATGTCTGTCTGTCTGTCTGTCTGTCTGTCTGTCTGTCTGTCTGTCTGTCTGTCTGTAACCTCAGCGTGTGTACAATTACATGCACAGTGAAAATGCAATTTTGTATGACTATGACTATGTGCATACATGCATTTGAGCACATGTCTACGTGTTTGTGTGTATGTGTGTGCATGTGCATGAATGTGTATGTTTAGATGTGCATGTGTGTGTGTGTGTGTGTGTGTGTGTGTGTGTGTGTGTGTGTGTGTGTGTGTGTGTGTGTGAGTGGGTGTTTGTGTGTGTGTTTTCTCTTTCCCTCACTTCTAAAATCTATGTAAAAACTAATTGAATTTTAAAAGAAGTTTGTTTTACTCAGATACACTGAAAATCGGAATTTATTTGTTAGTTAAATTCGAGTTTTTAAAAATTTATTTTGATATACAAAAAACAGAGGATCCGTCTTCTTTTGTTGAATCTGAGTTTTCGTCGAGTCTTTGTTCATTGAATTAAAGTTCTGTTGTATTAAAACAGTCCGACTGAGTTTACTTAGGGGATTTAATCATTTTACTTCTACTTTTGGTTTGAGTTATGACCCCCGAATTGCTGTTGTGAAAATGAAATTATACAGTTTATTTGAGATTATACATTATTTTGCTTTGCCTTCCCCCACCTCTCAACCCCCATGCGGCAGATGATTTAGTTAATGATGTGTATGACTACCGAAAAAATATAATTTCAATAAATCTTTATACGCATATGTGATATCGTGTGTTTATTCTTTGCATTCCATATCTTTGCATGTCTTATCTGAAGTAAGACATAGTGTCCGTTTTGTTATATTTTGTTCATTATTCAAACGTATCTGTGCTGGATTTTTCTTCCCCAAGGATGATGAGGGCAAAACTGGACCTTTCCTCGATGAAATAAAGAAATTCTTGCGAGTGCAGAAGGACCTTTATGTGGCAGATATCAAGGAAAAGTTGGAAACCACCAGGTAGTATGTTTTTCTAGATTAGTGTCTGTGAATGAGTGGTTGTCTGTGTGTGTGAATGTGTGTCTGTATGTGTGAGTGTGTATTCATGTGTGTGTATTCATGTGTGTGTGTGTGTGTGTGTGTGTGTGTGTGTGTGTGTGTGTTAGTGCATGTGAGTGTTCATGTGTGTTTGTGCATTTGTATGTTTGTGTGCATGTGTATTTGTGTATGTGTGTATATGTGTGTGTGTGTGTGTGTGCATCATGTGTGTGTTCATATATGTGTATGTGTGCATGTGTATTTTTGTGTTTGTGTGTGTGTGTGTGTGTGTGTGTGTGTGTGTGTGTTAGTGCATGTGAGTGTGCATGTGTGTTTGTGCATTTGTATGAATGTGTGCATGTGTATTTGTGTGTTCATATATGTGTATGTGTGCATGTGTATTTTTGTGTTTTTGTGTGTGCATGTGTATGTGTGTGCATCATGTGTGTGTTCATATATGTGTATGTGTGCATGTGTATTTTTGTGTTTTTGTGTGTGCATGTGTGTTTGTGTGTGTGTTTGTGTGTGTGTGTGTGTGTGTGTGTGTGTGTGTGTGTGTGCGCGCACGTGTGTGTGTATGCACTTCTGAGTGTGTATCATTGTAAAAAATGATTTGTTTATGTTTTTGTTTGTCCATTTAATGCTGGAGCTCTGCACTTCTTCTTGTTGAAAATGAGTTTTTATAAATAACTAAATGTAAGCACTCTGCCTATCTATATGAACAAAACGAAGGGATAGTCATGAAGTGGGGGGGGGGGGGGGAGCTGTTGATAGACTCAATTGATTGGACCCACTTATTTCCTACTGCTCTTTTTTCTATTTTGTCTGTCATCATGTTGTTCTCAAGCCCTACAGATGTCATGTTTGTAGTGTCAAAATTCTTCTCGTCACATCAAACAAATTGTTAGAGATGATAACTAGTGAAGATCTGTCATTTTCTGCCGATTATTACAATAGACAACAAAACTATATTAGTATTTCTGACAAAATATACTCTTCCTCAGGGCATTTTTAGCCTAGAGTTGGGAATACAATAGATTGTGGTGCTAATAATTTAGACTGGAAAAAATGTGCCAAATCCTATTTGAAATGAGCTCCATCAGTAAATTTGGTTAATTCTCACAACTGTCCAGCATGTATTGTAGACCTTCTAGTACTCTGGCATTTTTATGAGGTAATCCTGTTGTTCCAGGATATATGATTGTGATCTGTCTGCTTACACTTAAAACCTCGAGCTACAATTAATTTCCCCACTCCCCCTCTCCAGAAACTCACGTAAAACTGAAACACTGTGGCATCTCACTGATCTTTGATATGTAGCCCCTTATGATGCCATATGGAAGACTAAAAATATACAGATGTTTATCCTGGACAAGTGCCAATTTCCAAGGCTTGCATCATAAATTGTGTCAAATTGTGTTGAAAAGAGTGTAAAGCTCACACTCGGAATTGAAACTACTTTATTTGTTTGTTTATTTTTTTATCCCAGCTCTGTGTCAGTGGATGAGTTGATGCGAGCCATTTCCATGGCTGACCCTGAGATTGACAACGACAAGATGCAATCCTATCTTGCCTGGGCATTCAAAACATCCCTGGAAGGGGTTAAGGATGCTAATCCTGAGGATCTGGGTGTTATTATGGAGCGACTGGAGAATGGTAACATAGCCAGGGTGGGCAAGAAAATGTGAGCCCATGACTATTTTACTGTTAAGAAAATGTTTCATTTTGCCTGGTTATTAATACAATGAAAATAATGTTGTTTTTTTTCAATTCCTAAGACTTACTGATGTTAGCTTTTCTATTTCTAGCACATGCTGCCAAATATGTGACCTGAAAATATTGGGAGATTGTGCGGAGAACAAATTATGACTCGATGAATGAGCTCTGGATCAAAGTAGCCAGCAACTGTGTGCTTGGTCTTGATAGAGGGGCTTAGCTATCAAATGAAAGACTCAAAGGAATGACAAGGTTACTAGAAAGATAGTTCTTTTAGAGGCTTTGCTTTGCATTGAATGGACAGTTCACTCAGTGAAATGGTGGTGTTTATTGCTCAATGCTGTTAAACAGAAAACCTCTTAAAACTGTAAAACCATTAAACTTCAGGCTCTGGTGGAATTTTTAGTCTGTTCTATTTACCTTAACCTTGCACATTTTTTCCATAAAAGTTTTCTTTACAAGAATAACACCATGTATAGATACTCGTTAAAGACATCAACAAAACCCTGTTAAAACTGTAAAATGATCAATCATGAAACTTTGATTGATCACATAGATGTATTTGCCTGTCTACACATTAAATTTGTGATGCAGTTTGAATGTTTATGCTATACTGCAATAGTGTTATGATTTGTGTATATATTCAAATTTGCTCTGTATGAAGTTGTCTTGTCGAAATATGATATATAGTTTCATAATAAAGACTCTGTGTCACTTGACTTGTGAAAGTAGGATTTCTTTGAGTCTTTCTTTGTTTTGTTCTTCCTTCTTTTGCAAAGAGAGAGAAGCTCTTTGCTCGAGAAGCAGGGATAAATTTCTAATATGGCTCAAGTAGTTTAAGGCATCATTTTAGTGACTGTGAAGAAAAAAAACACTGAGCAAAGACCAGTATGTATATTCTGTCTCAATACTTGTTTTCATTGTGAGAGACACAAGATATTTGAGCTGATAACACAGATCAGGAGATGTCATGTCAGAGCAAAAGTGTGAGCCTTTGAGAAGTGAAAGACAACGAAATGAACTGGAGGAATTTTGAGGCTTCTTATAAAAGAAAACAAAACTCAGGTGGTAAAGATTAAGTACAAAATAAAATTTTATTAATTATAAAGACAAATAAGTACCCCTTTGAAGCTAAAACTCTGCTTAATATTTACAAAGAGATTGGTCTGAGCTTCATCTTACTTTAAGTTGGGATTCTAATTAACCTCAGCCCAAAAAGTGTATGCTAAGTTTTGTTCAACACTAAGAAGCAGTACATGTAACGTTCATACTTACAAAGATTACAAAGGCAGATTCAAACGCCATGTGCTCTTAAGGCAGAACTAGCCTTCCTTACCAACATTGGATACAACTTTGTGAAAGTTATATTCTGTTTCTAATGAAGTTTTGGTCTACATCAAAAAGTTTTTGTTGAGACTGAATTACGCATCTTGGGATAGAAATTACATGTAATTGTTACTGTCGTGAAATATTTTTACTTTCTTCATTCCAAATCCCTTTGCTAATATAAATATACTAAGGCATTTGGCAAATGTATATATATATATTTTCTCTCTCTCTCTCTCTCTCTCTCTCTCTCTCTCTCTCTCTCTCTCTCTCT